ATGTATCTCCAACAACTGGCTGCATTTATTTATTGAACCAGGATGATCTCAGTTCAGTTTTACCTGCTTTATGTTTAATGACCTTCTTAATTTGAGGATTTAGATCCTAAAAGCTGAAAACTGCAGCCGTCGGTTGTTTTTGTGGTGAAGCAGCTGAAATGTGACAGAAGCTGCTGCTGGTCTGTCTCTGCCTGTGTTGTCCAGAAGGGAAACAGCGCTCTGCACTACGCCTGTCAGAGGAAGAGTCACCGCCTGGTTCCTCTGCTCCTGCAACGAAACGCCGACGGCAACATCCGCAACAACGTAAGAACAGAAGCTAAATAAACACGTTCATCACTGTGACAAGCAGCTGAATCAACCAAGACCTGAATCTGTTTTACAGGACGGAGAGACCGCTCTGGACATCGCCACCAGACTGAAGTTCAAGAAGATCGAACGCATGTTGAAGAAGACACGCTGACAGGCAGAGAACTGCTTTCAGTCTCTGTGCTACGCTATGCTAACAGTTTACCACTGCTTCCAGCCTTTGAGCTCAGCTATGCTAACAGTTTACCACTGCTTCCAGCCTTTGAGCTCAGCTATGCTAACAGTTTACCACTGCTTCCAGCCTTTGAGCTCACCTATGCTAACAGTTTACCACTACGTCCAGCCTTTGAGCTAACCTATGCTAACAGTTTACCACTGCGTCCAGCCTTTGAGCTAAGCTATGCTAACAGTTTACCACTACATCCAGCCTTTGTACATGTAGCTCCATAACATCATGTAGCCATAAACATTATGTTGGATTATGCTAGCAGTTTAGCTACACTTCCTAGTGATTTCTGAATGCTATGCTAAGCTAACCAGCTGACTCCAGGTTGTTACAGAGAACAAAATGCCTTTAAGATAAAGCGGGAACATTTATTTGTAATAAAAATATCTGTAGATATTAAACTGAATCTGATTATTGTACATTTCAAATTGAACTTTGTGTTTCAGGATCAAATTGTGTTCATAAAGGTTAAAGTCACTCAGTGTTTGTTGTGTTTGTGGTTCAGTTAAAAACCAGCAGGTTGAGAAACGCTCAGAGTTTCATCACTTTGACGAGATGACTCCAGACGTTACCGGAGACGATCCGGTTGGTCGATCCTGAAGTTTAAACTCCACCGTCATCAGCACACATTCAGTTAGAAATATTATCACCATCACTGAGACTTCACAATTTACCACAGGTTTCCATGGCAACGATGTCTCACTGAGCGTTTCAAAGAATTTCACAGTAAAAGTCTTTGTCCACCGAGCTGCTGTCAGTGTGACATCGGTCTTTCACAATAAAAGTCTGGAGCAAAAGACAAAACACAGAAAGTTGAAGCAAACGGTGGTTTTAATGTGGAGACAGAGTTCACAGGAGACGAAGGAGAAGCAGCTGATCGTTCAACAGGAGCAACTCGTCCAGATGTTCCACCAGCATCCAGCTGCTCAGAGCATCAGACCAGCGACGGCGTCTTCGCCTCGTCTTCTCCTTCACTGAGTTCTGTTGGTGTGATTGTTCTGCACATGAAGGCCCGTGTTGAACGCACACGGACACGCAGACACTCGGTGGGTCGATCTGAAACCTCCAGCTCTGATCCGGTTCAAACACCAAAACACAAGCTTGAGCTGTGAACACATGAATCCAGCTCATGTGTTCATTTTTCAAGTCAACAGTCAGAACTGCATCCTAAAAACATCCTTCCACAATAAAAGCCCATTCACGCTTAAGACATTTGGTACATTTAACTGTTATGTGTGTTGTTAATACTTGGCGGCATTTCTTTCATCATTTAGCTTTTGGGACAGTTTTCCTCCATTAGCTTTGATTTTATTATTATGATTATTTTGTTAGTTTTAAATTTATTTTTTGGCCTTTTTGCCTTTTTTAAAATGTGACAGTGCAGTAGAGAGACTGACAGGACAGCTGGAGAGAAGGACCTACGGAAAAGGATCATGAGTGGGATTCGAACTCATGACCTCCACATCGGGGACTAGAGCCCCTGAACATGGACGAGCTGTAGCGGCGGCCATTTTTGATTTTACTATTTGTTCGGATATGAGCTTCAGATTTTACCAGCTGTTAAAATAACTCCTCACAACCAGGTAGACACGACGCAACCTCAAACACTAAAAACTACCGCAAAGAGACACACAACAACCTCAGAGACACACAACAACCTCAGAGACACACACAACAACCTCAGAGACACACACAACAACCTCAGAGACACACAACAACCTCAGAGACACACAACAACCTCAGAGACACACAACAACCTCAGACACACACACAACAACCTCAGAGACACACAACAACCTCAAAAAGATTAAAACGGCCTTAAAAGGACACTAAGATGAGGAACTCCAGGTGAAGTCTGTGTTTAGTATTTTAAAGGTTTCTCACATTATCTGTTGTTTTAAACCTGCATCTTTAAAAGTTCAATAATAAAAGCTGAAGCAGAAAGTAGCCCGACGTGGAGAAACTAATGCAGAGTACAGTACTCGAGTAAATGTACTTAGTTACTTGCTGCTGCTGTTGATCTGAATTCTGAGCGACAAGACGTTTTTCCTAAAGTTCAGTTTTCCTCTGAAGCAGTCGATGTTTAAAAAGATCGTTTCAGTCTGAGGCGAGGATTTCAGTCGACTGAACGTGGTTCTGACAGGTAAAGCGGTTGAAACTGGGTCTGCCGGTTCTTCTGCGGGGCGGGATGGAGCCGGCGGTCCCAGCACGCCTAGCGATGCTCCTGCAGCAGCCTCAGGATGGACGGGAACATCTGCTGGGGAGCGTCCAGCCCCCAGATGAAGTCCAGATGCTCCCAGTGCTGGATGTGCTGGTGGAAGACCAGGTTGGACACCTGGACACACAGACAGCAGCAGGTTGAGTTGACGTGAGAACACTGACGTAGAACCACAGCAACGGGAGAGAACATCGAGTCTGCAGAATCTAACAGAACCTCTGTTAATGCAAAATGTTCCAGAGGCTCTTACAGTGAAGGGTGTGTGGACCCCTGTGGTTCTGGTTCTTCAGTCCAACAGCTTCTCAAACAGAACCTCCAGATATCAAACAACCTTCATCAAACTTCATCCAAGTTTCATGAAACACAAACACTAACTTGAAATTTAGGTCACCCAAACCTTCAGGGAACCTTATAGGAATGTTCTCTAACGGTTACTTAAACCTTCAGAGGATATTCGTTTAACATTCTACGAACGCTCTAGAACATTCCCTAAAGGTTACCTGAATGGCCTCTGAAAGTTATTCATGGAACCTTTAGGGAATGTTTGAAGAACAATGTTTAGAAACTCACAAAGTAACCATCAAGGAACATTACAGGAATGTTCCATACAGGTTCTCTAGGGGTTTTGCAAAACTTCCGAGGATATTCATGGAACGTTTCCATAATGTTCCCTGATGGTTACTTTGTGAAAGCTTCAGATACCAGTTATAATGAATGTTCTAGAAAAGTTCTCTGCAGTTAATGTTGTGAAACCTTTAGAGAACCTTTAGGAAACGTTCCTGTGATACTCTGGTTCTCCGATGGCTTCACTAAATAACCTTTTGATTGTTGCACCAAAACCTTCAGGGAACATTGTCTGCTGGCTGGACTCACCTGTGTGAGGAGGAGCGCCACGTCCTTGGGGTCCGCCAGCGTATCGTGTCCCCCTGAAAACAGGGCGGTGGGAACCTTCATGTCCTGGACGTGGTACTGGGGGGGGACGGACTGCAGCGACACAGACACAGTGAGTCGAGTCTGTCGGTCGGAATCAGCTGCTGCTGTTACCTGTCGAGTCTCACCTGGTTGTAGTGCTTCATGTTTCCTGCAGCTCCAAAGTCAAACGCCGTCAGTTTCCCTCCGTGAACCGCCTGAAGACCGAACACTCAGAGCTCAGAGAAAACATACGGCGCCACAGGAAGAGAACCATTAAACCGCTAACCCAGCATTGTTCAGAGCGCTTCACACAGAAGCACCTGACGGACAGGTGAGACCTACCTGAGCCCAGTGGACCATGTTCTGGACTGAGGTCCCGGCAGGACAGTGGGTCGTGTAGACCGGAGTCCGAGTCTGGAAGAAAGACGAGTCGGTGAACGTGTGCAATAACCTCTGGTTTATTTTCGACAGTGTTAATGCTAACAGGCACGCTAGCTGTTCTCATCGCTGATCTGCAGCTGCTGGACTTATACAATAACAATAACGTCGCCTGAGTCTGAAGGAGGACAAAAAATCTTTAACGTCACGTTTCAACTTTTCAGATACGAACCATGTTGAGGTTTTTCTCGTCGAAGCCGCAGAGGACGAAGAAAAGGTTTCCACACAACGCGCTGTGCTTCCCACAGACGTGCTCCGCAAACCACTCGATCATGTGACTCTGAGGCAGGAAGTCCCGCCTCCCGAACAGGTCCTACACACACCGTCAATACTCATTACCAATACGTGTGATCAATACGTGTGATTAACACTGACGATCATTGTGGTCATGTGACCGGTCCTTACCCATATAAGGGCATCGGGCAGGATGGACAGTTTGGTCATGGGGCTGCTGGTGAAGGCGACGGTCGCTACGGGAGCCAAACCCACAAACAGCTTGATCTTACTGGCGAGCTCCGGCAGCGTGGAGAACGCTATGAATGCTGGGAGACCAGACAGATGGTAGTCATGTGCGGGCCTGCTGGTGCCACAAACCAGGAACATGAACACGAGGAGAACACGAGGAGAACACGAGGAGAACACGAAGAGAACACGTGGGGAACACGACAAGAACATGAGGGGAATATGAGGAGAACATGAGAAGGTACCGATGGTGGTTCCCTGTGAGTGTCCGATGTAGAAGATCTGCTCCTGCTCCGTCACCTTCAGGATGTAGTTCACCACCGCTGGCAGGTCCTTCAGCGCCATCTCATCATGGCTGCACACATCATCACCACCATCACCATCACATCCTCATCCTCATCACCATCACCATCATCTTCCTCTTCCTGTCCTAGTTCTGCTGGTTCTGATGAAGGCAGCAGCGTCGGCTCCTACCTGAACCTCCAGAACTCCTCCTCCTCGGGGCTGAGGCGCCGGTGCCTCCTGGACCAGGTGTTTCCGCGGCTGTTCCCCATCCAGACGTCGTAGCCGGCGTCGGCCAGCACGTATCCCAGACTGCAGTTGGGCAGGTTGGTGATCCAGTTGGACCCGGCTGCCAGGAGGCCGTGTTGGAGCAGGACGGCGGGCCTCGGACCTGCAGGACCACAGAGTTCAGCTAGAAAACCTCTGAAGAAACTGTATCGAAGCAGCTTCTGCAGGTTCACGTGTCCTGATATCATTATATGAGGTACCAGCTATATTAGGACATTTTATTTTGAAAAGCCAAACCCTGATCAGTTCCTGCTACCATCTCTGAGCTTTGGCTTTGAAAGTGCAGCATCCTGTTGACTGTAGATACCAATGGTCTTCAGCTGATCTGCTCACTGAGCTGTTACTGGCTGTGGGCTCTTAATTTGAAAGCACACTGATGGTTTGTCCATCGTGTGTGTGAGGAACAAGTCCAGTTCGGTAATCTCCTTTGACCACCAGGGAGATTTTAATTTGACAGTCTGGTACAGGGGAAGCCATGAGGCAGTGCATTTATTTTGAAAAGCCAGCATACATCCGAGCCCCTGGTCAGAACTTTTATTTTGGTAGACGACGGTACCTTAATGCATCCTGTTAACTGAATGACTGTGACCGATAAAAACCACGACAGAGATTGAAAGACAGATTTAGACGAGGAACATTCGGAGCCTTGTGGCCCGGTTCAGCTGTGGGTGAAGGTTCTGCTGCAGGTTCTTCTGGAGCTGCACGGTTCTGAAGGTCAACGGACTTTAACACAGTTTATTATGACGCTTCTGCATTTCCACACCAGACAGACACGAGAGCAGCTCAAGGTTCAGCTGAGTCACGCTTCACTTCCTGTTTCAGCAAACCGGGCTCTGACCTGCTGCTGCTGGTTTCAGCCCGCCGGGGATCCGGTTCACCGTCAGGATGTAGCCGTCCTCCGTCAGAACCTCGTGCTCCTCCGCAGGGTAGCCCCACCTCCGGACGATCTCCGACTGGACACACAACAACACAACACACTGACTGTCTGGTTCCACGGTTCTGAGTCCGGCTGACAGAACACCTCTGGGTTCCTCCTTCATGTGGTTCTGGTTCCACAGAGCTGCAGGACTTGATGTGGGAACATGAGACAGACACAGTTCAGGGTTCAGTGTGTTGGAGCAGCAGGTGACTCACAGGTGTGACGTGGGTCAAAGGTCATTACAGGACCAAACACAGACACACCTGGACCTGCCAGCAGGGGGCGGGGCTTACAGACACCTGACGGATTCAGTGTGATGACTGCATCAGTGCTGTCACTGACTGGCTTCGTCTCCACGGCAACAGCACCGTAGTGTTTGAGCGCGCTCAGTGGAAACCGTCAACGTTACTCACGATGTTCATGTGCACTTCAGGGTCCAGCTGCAGCCGCCGTACATCAGAGCGTCGCAGGCTGTCGACCGCCGGACCGCCAAGGATGAGAGCCGAGAGAAACAACACACACAGCGAAACACACAACATGGTCTGACTGACACACACACACACACACACACACACACACACACACACACACACACAGAGAGAGAGAGAGAGAGAATCAGAATGGTGCGTTCAGGTTCATCTGTTTTAAAAAACACATTTAAAGTGACTGCACGTTCAGAGTTCGGCCTGAAACCAGCCCGGTCCACACACATCTGTCTCTGGTGGTTCTGGTTTCAGGCTGCAAACAGGCCGAACACACTCCATCAGGTCCAGGCAGCAGCTTCGGAACCAACAACTCACAAGAGCTCAGAGTTCAGCTCGTCAAAGCTGCTGGCTGACCCGCTCACACTCAGAGCTTCGGCTGGTTCTGGTGTCGCAGCTTTTATCTCCACCCGGTTCGTCCCGCCTCGCTGCTCACTGGCCGTCGGGTTTTACACATTTGTTTTTCTGTCACATTTAACATCTGAACGTTTTGTTTTTCAGTCTCACGTGTTTCTGTTTCCTGCGTCTCACAACCGTTAAAGCGCCGGTACCGGACCACGTCAGCGGCCGTTAATGAGCCATTAATAACCCTTTAATGGGCCGTTAATAACCCTTTAATGAGCCGTTAATGAGCCGTTAATAACCCTTTAATGAGCCGTTAATGAGCCGTTAATAACCCTTTAATGAGCCGTTAATGGGCCGTTAAAGCGGCGGCGAAACACACTTTCTAAGTTCGGTCGAGAGCCTCTCACCTGTGCGTCCGTCTGAAGCCGACGATCAGCTGACTGTGACCTCACTGACGGAAGAGCCGCGACGTCGGAGGAAGCAGTCCTGTGATTGGTCAGAGGCCGGAAGCCCGCTGCTTACTGTAATAGATAATAAAAGACGGACATAAGGCTGATGGGGAGACGGCTGGACGCCTCAGTGTTCATTCAGTCACCATCACTTTGAATTTTGCTTCGTTAATGTTTTAGAAAGTCACAGATACAAACCGGAACACACGCAGAAGCAGATCACACAGACACACAACACCAGAGATCATTTTTTAAAATGATAAAATAAACAGTAAAAATTAAATGTAAATACGCCGCAACAAAAATTATGTAGAACTTAAACTATGACGTGTTCCTTATTCACATTCATTTAACTCCATGCTGCATTCACTGGTGAACAAACTTCAGGGGGAAAAAAAGTTGATTTAAAGCCCGTTTCAAACATTTTAAAACCGTTTTCTGTTAATCAGGCTTTTATTTTGAATGAATGAACCGGATGCATCGTTTTTCTCCGGGACAGTTTTTGTTTGTCCACATGTTTTTCTCAGTTTCATAACACCGGTGGCGGATTTGACTTCTGACCCAAACCGTTAGTCCCGATCTGTGTCCGCCGGTACCGTGAGTCCGGCCCGGTTCGGAGCAGAAAATGTCCCGGGTACTGATCGTCGGAGCGGGTCTGACCGGCAGCCTCTGCGCATGTCTGCTGAGGAGGGAGCTGCAGAGTAAAGTTCAGATCGTGGTGTGGGACAAAGCCAGAGGTGCAGGTGAGTGACGCAGAACTCCATTCAGAAAACGTAGGACTTAAGGTTCCCGAACTCACAGCCGAACCGGGTCAAACTACAGAACATTAATAAAGATCGTCTGGTCATCTGAGGACTGCCCTCTAACCTTCGGCTGAGCAATAATCTATAAATGCACTTCATGTGTGCTGCAGAGAAATGCAGAATGAAGTCAGATCTTCATGAAGAAATCGTCCATTTAAATGTCCTCCATCTGTCAAACAGGTGCGCACACAGAACACGAGTGAAGGCGGTTTTAGTGTCAGTCGGGTTGTTTCTTAAATCCGGCTTCAGTGTGATTTATACATAAACTTTAACTTGTCCTTTTCCTGACTTTCATTGGGCTGCTGCTGCAGCAACAGCTGAGTTTAAATTTGTCAAGTTTCTAATGGAGTCTGGTGCGTGAGTCTGACCTGGCTCTGTGTGTCTCGTCTCAGGGGGCAGAATGTCCACCAGCCGTCCTCCCGATGTCTCATCGCACTCAGTTGATCTGGGAGCTCAGTACATCACTGCCACGCCGGCCTACGCTCAGTCCCACCACAGGTACGACTCACCTGAACACCAGCGGCTGCCTGTGGTCAGGAGGCTGAAGACAGAACCAGGACTGTTGTGTTTGTGTTCTGCTGCTTCTGTCTCATGTGAAGCTGCTTTGTTGTTGAGTTTTTACACAACAGTCTGACTTTGTGTGTCTGTCGACAGCTTCTACTCAGAGCTGCTGTCAGCCGGCGTCCTGCAGCCGCTCAGCTGTCAGATCGAAGGTCTGCGGCAGCAAGACGACAGCAAGAACTACATGACGCCACTGGGCATGGGCAGTGTGGTCAAACACTTCCTGTCTGAGTCAGGTGAGCACTTCCTGTCTGAGTCAGGTAAGCACTTCCTGTCTGAGTCAGGTAAGCACTTCCTGTCTGAGTCAGGTAAGCACTTCCTGTCTGAGTCAGGTAAGCACTTCCTGAGGTTTTTCGGCTGACTGTTTGTTTCAGCAGAAGCAACCGAACTTGTTTGTGGTTCTTGACAACATTTCATCTTCATCTCAGAGGTTCCTCGGTTCTACCTGCCTGGTGGGGAGCTCCAGGTGTTTCCTGTCACCTGTGAACCACATGACTCAAAGCTCGGCCTCCTGACAGGCGGTTTGACCACATCACACTCTGAGTCGCTTGTTTCTGGTTGTTGATGATCTTTCATTTAGCAAAAGCTCAAACCAGGTGAAGCTCTGACTCCAGGTGTGGCGGTGGTCTGCTGAGGGCCATCCTGACCGACGGGGTCTGAGATCTGCTGCAGACCGTTTACAGGCTGTTCGGTCGTGTTTCTTTTTCTGCTCTTCTGAAGTCTTTTCAACATATTTTCTGAGCTTCATGGAGATAAAACCAGTTTTTCTGATCTAGTGAACATTTACGTCACATGACTGATCAGCTGTTGTGACAGCAGGAAACATGGCGACAGCAGCCTGAGCGGCTCAGGTGGTCCCTGCAGGTCCCTCTGGACCGCTGGGTTTGTTTCTGAGTCCACAGCGTGTCACATGTAGAACGTCAGAAACCTTCAGTCTGTTTTCAACTGTTCTTTATGTTTTGTTTGTCAGGAGCTGATTTGTTCTTCGAGCATCACGTGACCGCTCTGTACCGCCGTGGGGCATCATGGGAGGTTGAGAAAAAGGCGGGAGGCAGCGAGACGTTTGACGCCGTCGTCCTGACGATGCCAGTCGCTCAGATCCTGCAGCTGCAGGGAGACGTGGGACAACGTGAGACTCAGAACCAGAACATGAAGCCTTAAAGAGCGTCCTCACAGAGATCGGAGAACACACAGAGAACCACAGCGCGTCACATGACCAGTAACATACATGAGGACATAAACATGTGGAGCTTCTGCTGCAGGAAACCTCGATGCTGAAAGTAAACGGGAGGTTCAGTGACGATGCTCCACCAGCAGGAGGCAGCAGCTGCTCTCACTCTGAACACTGCTTCAAGTCAACTGGTCCTGGCCGTTAACCAGCTAACGGGTCCAAACCGACCAGTGACTCGACACCGTTACAAAGTCAGAGACACGCTGTGATGCAGAGTCACTTTCCTGAGCTCTGATTGGCCGAAACATTCTTCCTTAAAGCTAAAACCTGTGTGTGTAGCTGTGAGTCTCTGTCTCTGTGAGGACACGGTGCCTGGACCTGATGTCCAGACGGCTAACTAGGGGCCAGTCAGAACCAGGCTCCAGTTAGAGCCCGGTTCTGGTTAGAACTGGGTTCTGGTTATGATCCTGGTTCAAGTGTCTGGGAAAGTGTTTCATCATGAAGTGTAGCTTTGTGTGTGTGTGTGTGTGTGTGTGTACTGGTCAGGCTGCATGTGCACGTGTGTGTGTCTCTAGATGATGATGTCACCTTAAGCTCATCTGATTGGCTGACAAGGGACAGCGCCCATTTCCTCTGCGCTGAAACACAATCTAATAATAACCTGAGTGTGTGTGTGTGTGTGTGTGTGTGTGTGTGTGTGAGAGCAGTTTGAAGCTGCAGCTTGCTTCTGTTTCTGAGATGTGAATCATGAGCTGCAGTTACAGCTGAGAGCAGCAGCAGACTGAGTATTGATTATAGATCATCGATCAGGCCTCAGGTTTACCTCCCACACATGTTCAG